AAAAACTGAATGCACCAAATCTGTTATAAACAAGTGGAGCAGGATCCAAATATGTTGGTTCTGAAATCCTGCCTTCTGGGTGCTGTCACTCTTGGTGGGAAGAGCTTGCCAGCAGGATGACTTACTCTATGACACACTAGGACATGCTGCTACTGTGACTTGCCACCTCCACTCACCAGGAGGAGAAACTGCAGTGCACCATGGGAGATGTAGTCAGGCAGAAAGCCTGGCTTGTTGAAGAGAAGGGGAACATGAGACTTATAAACTACAACTCTCATATATAATTTCTGTTCTGAAGTGTTTGACTTACTGGCCAACCAATTCCAGGACTCGGACACAGTGGGTGCATCTACGCATTCATTAATGCTCTTTAGGTAATGCACATTTAAATCTATTGCCTCCATTGTGAAGTACTAGAACAATGAGCATTAGCCTATTTTAATGCACATTAGTGAAAGAGCCATAGGTTTTATGTGGTGCTTTAATGTGCATTAAAATAGGCTAATGAGTATTAAAGTGCATGTGTAGAAGCACCATGAATTTAGGATTTCTGTATCTGCTGCTGCAAATTCAGATTGTTCTGTGGCTCCTGCCTACCTCCATTTCCAACCAGTTCTAGGATTGAACCCTCCCTGCTGTTTTTGAAGAACAAGCAGAAATGCCTCCAAGAGGTGCTGCTGCTAATGTAGTTTAAGGCTCTATTCATGGCCACAGTCACTGATTTTGGCTTTTGTCTTTCTTTTGGCCTGTGGATGTACATAGTGATGCATGTGCTCTTTCCTCGCCTCTTGGATACTTCCATTTGAGGAGAAACTGAAAAGGCTGTATCTTTTTCATCTTGGAAAATGGACAATGGGAATGGAGGGAAATATTAGGGGCCTATGAGATGGCATAGAAAAAGTAAATAAGGAACTGCTATTTACTGTGTCTGGCAACAAATTGATTGGGTGCACCTTGGTTTTACTTTTCAGACGGCAAGCTTAAAACAAACAAAAGTAAGCACTTAACTATATAACAAAATGGACTTGTGGAACTTGCTGCCCAAAAATGGGGGCCAAAAGTATAACAGGATTACCCCATAAGACCAACAACAGTTATGGTTTTATGAGAACAGATATGGGTTAACATGAACAAAATGGAACCAGTAACAACAGTATTAATGTGCCAAAAACTATTTACTATACATACAGATTGTTTGAAAAAAGTATTTATGATGATTTGAACCCAAAATATTATTTACCTAGAACTATGAACAGTTCATAGTCCCCTGTCTTTCCTCCCCCCACCCCCGGTGTGCAGGTGGTCATATGGACTAAGTGGTCAAGGTTATCCACCTCACCCTTGTTTTTACTGTAGTCATGGATGATGTCCAGCTTTCTTTGCTTTCCACCCGCTGACAGGTCATGATGTATGCTTGACAGCAGCAGCATAACTTTGGACTTCTTTGGAACATGGGGTAATTAGGATGAGTTTCCCATCAAAAGCAAACATGGATGAGAGAGTTTCCCTTCTTTGATTTGCTTGCATTTTTGTTTGGGATATTGGGCTTGTTTTTTCAAATCGTACCCACATAGTTCAAGTCCTGCTGTAGCAGTCTTTCTGCCAGGTCAGTACTTGTGAAGAAATTGTCATCCACAATATTCTTTCCCATCTTGTACCAGGGATGAACCAGTTTTTCAATGACCTGGGTACCAAGATTATGTTGGTGTGGAGCTTCTGGTTGCTTGCCGAGGTAGATGTCTCCAGACAGGGGGAATGATGTTGCTGCATCACAGCACCACTGATATTTGGCAGGCTTGCTGGACATATACTGCCTGAAGGGACAGCAACCCCTGAACGCAACAAGATGCTCATCAACCATCAGGTGTATTCCTGGAATATACCATTTCCTGAGCTGATCCACAAATTGTGTCCAGATATCTCTGAAGGCAGCAAGCCTGTCCACAGCTCTCCTTTCCTCATGTGTCAGTTTGCTGTCAAATATCAGGTAGTTAGTGATTTCATAGACATTGGGGGCTGGAAGGGACCTCATGAGACCATCGAGTCCAGCCCCCCTGCCAGAGGCAGGGAGGCTGCTCAGATGATCCCAGTAAAATAAACATTCAAATGCCTTTTGAATGAGTCCAGAGTAGGCGGTTGCACCACCTCTGGGGGAGTCTGTTCCAGGCCTTGGACACTTGAACTGTAAAGAAGTTTTTCCTTATCGAGTCTGAATCAGACTTCTTGAAGTTTGTGGCTGTTAGACCTATTTATCCCTTGGAGAGCCCTGGTGAACATCTGTTCTCCCAGATCCTGATGCACCCCACTTATAAACTTATAGGCAACCACCAAATCCCCCCTGAACCTTCTCTTCTCCAGGCTGAAGAGTCCCATGTCCCTCAGCCTCTCTTCTTAAGGCTTGCTCTCTTGGGCTTTGATCATACAGGTGGGTCTCCTCTGGACTCTCTCGAGCTTATCCACATCCCTCCTGAACTGGGGGGGGGGCCTCCAAAACTGGATGCAGTACTCCAGCTGCAGCCCCACTAAGGCCGAGTAAAGCAGGAGAATGACATCCCTGGTTTTGCTCGAGATGCATCAGTAGATGCATGCCAGAGTTTGGTTTGTTCTGCTGACCAAAGCATTGCATTGAGGGCTCGTGTTCATTTTGTAGTCAACCAAGACCCCCCAAGTCCCTTTTGGTCACGGTGCCAGTGAGCATAGCACTACTTAGCCTATAAATATAATGCTGGATTTTTCTCCCAAGATGGAGTACATTGCATTTCTCTACGTTGAATACCATCTGGTTTTGGCCTGCCCGCTTCACAAGCATGTCCAAGTCAGCCTGTATCCCCAGCATGATCACCTTCCCCCATAGTTAAGTGTTGCCTATGAACTTTGCCAGTCCGCATCTGATGCCTGAATCCAGGTCATTAACGAAGATATTCTGGAGTCTGGTCACATGAACTGTGAAGAAGTTTGCCCTTGTATCCAATCTGAAGCCTTCTTCTAGGAGTTTGATGGTTGCTCCCAGCAATCATCATAAACTCCTAAAAGAAGGTTTCAGACTGGATATAAGGTTTTCCCCTGGGGCGTTTTGGTGAATAGTTGTTCACCTAGCTCCTGATGCTCTCCCCTGACTTTATATTTTGTAAGCTGCCACCAAACCCCCCTGAAGTCTTCTATTTTCTAGGTTGAATAGTCCCATATCTGTCAGCCTGTCCTCACATGGCTTGTTCTTCAGGTATCTAATTGTACGAGGGGTTCTTCTCTGGACTCTCTCAAGCTTCTCCACATCCTTCTTGAAGTGTGGTGCCCAGAACTGGATGCAGTAATTAGGCTAGGTCAGTGGTTCTCACCCCATGCTAGATGCAAGTCACCCTTCAGAAAATGCCAGAAAAATAATAGAGCGATTGTTCTGCCACAAAAAGTTTAGAGACCACAACAGGTCTTTGACACTATGGATTCCTTTTTGAAACTGCTTGAGTTTAGCTTGTTAATCATGTGTGGGTGCAACCCCCTGTGGCAGGTGAAAAAAATCTCATAGCACCCTGGTTGAAAATCACTGGGCTAGATGGATCTAACCCAGTATGCCAGTCCTTATGTTCTTTATGGCTGAAGAGAGAACAGCTATGGGGTACCATTCTGTGGAGCCAGAGATGCAAAGTCTGCTCTCCTAGCTTGCTGCCCAGTCAGCATGGGATTGTGACACTTTACCGTAAGGGGAGCCTTTAATGTTGTAGGGCTGTAGTGAAGGATTTTGCCCTGAGACTTTAAAACCTGTCCATCCTCTTTTTGTGTTGGACCTTCATGGGAAGAGGAAAGTAATGGTAGTTTAAAATTGTATTTTGAGAGCAAGAGAGTCTCAGCACCATACATCACCAAAATAAGACAATTTTATTGGTCGTGACATGCCTGTAATAATAATAATAATAGTTGTCTAGACATTTTAAGCTGCTTAAATAATTGCCATGTCATCAATCTATTGCAGGTGCCATGGCCAAATTGAGTAATGGAGTCGCATGGAAACGCATTTTCTACAGCAACTCAAATTGCCCCTAGCATCTGGGAGGCAGAGGAAGGATAATCTAGAACAGGGGTTGGCAACGTTTTCCAGTGGCAGGCAGGGATGGTCCAGCTTGGGTCTGAGGCACAAGGACACCATCTCCCTGCTGCCCAGCTGTGGCATGGCGGGCAGAGCCCTCCTCAGCTGGCTACTGACAGATCCAAAGGCTATATGGGCCAAGGCCAGCCTGCAAGCCGTAGATTGCCAAGCTCTCATGTAGAGGTTAAGGTGATAACTGGGGCCTAAGTTCAATTATCTGCTCTGCTGTGGACAGGGTAGTCTTTTAGGTCCAATACCTGCACAGGCATTTAAGTGCCTCAGTCACAATCTACCAATTCACTTGGGTACTACTGAGGTCCTTAGTTGTCACCTGACCCCATAAGCTCCTAAAGTCTTTCATCACCTCGAGTTCTCCCAGCAGGGTCTCATAGACACCTTAATATTTGCTGTTGGTCATGCACAGAGACATCTAGACCCTAACTGCTGAGCAGCTTACTGCCCTAGCTCACACCCGTGCCCCAGCCAGATTCACAGAATAGGTGCTGCCCCTAGCTATCTTGCACAGACATGCTCAGAGCACTTCAAGTCACTTGTGAAAGAGGGCCAAAAGAGAAGGTGCCCTCAGCTGCTTTCCCAGGAGCCCAATGCTTAGGATACAGGGCTGGGATACAGGAAAGGCAAGCTGCCTCCATTTTGTGAATAATTATTAAGGTGAAGTGGAATAACTCCAACTTCAGCG